AAACTTGGCACCTGGGGAGGAATGAATCCAGTTGGAATTGCACCTGAGACACTGGTTCCATAAACTTCATTCAGTTTCCCATAATGTGAAACCAGTGTGGCCACAACAATAATCACCAACTCTGTCGGAAGTGGGAATTTCAGTTTATGTTTGTATCGATCTCCCACTTCCTTCGCAGCGACCAGCACAACAATGCAAATAGTACTTGTTATTACATCACAGAGATTAGCCTGAGCAATATTTCGAAAAATATTAAACCAGGTCATTACAAGCATCCCAAGCCCTTGGCTGCGTGGGATTTTTATTCCAATAAGATACTTAACTTGAGCAGTTAAGATTGTTAAAGAAGCACCAGTTGCAAATCCATCCAGCATGGATTCTGAAAGGTATACAGATACAAAGCCAAGACGAAAGATTCCCATCAGGATCTGAAAGAAAAGCAAGAAATTGAAAAATAAATGATACTGCACTAAAGAGGGAGAGCACTTGTAGGTAAAGAGTGCTTGACAGTTCTAATTCTTAAACCAGCAGGGAACTGTTGTTATTTCAGATCCATGTGTAAAATGTGTGAATTCCTTTTATTGCTTTGATATATCATGAACAAAAGAGATGAAAAAAGCAATTCTTGAAGTGGATCAAATTGAACTACATTAACTGGTATTAATTCAAAGCAGCTCACCTGAAGTGATGCATGCTTGTCTGAATTTATTCCAGTGTAAGGCAGGGAACTAGATCCTGAGTGCTTCTGTTATAGCCACAGCAAATTGTTATTTCACCTCTGCTAAAAGTAAAATAAAGCGTTGTCCCTATTGTGCCATGACAATTGTGAGGTTTCAACTCCAACAAAAGTGGTATTTTATTGACTTTAGCTAATCACTTTCAAGAAAACCTCTTCAAGTCTGAACTGTGTTTTTCTTTATAACTTTGACATCATACACAGGTGCAATGATGTTGGATACCTCAGGATCTGAATCATCTTTTGAGGTGTGTTCAAGCAGTCTCATCCCCAGAAGTACTGAGCATCTGTACTTCTCAAATCAGGAGTTTTTAAGCTGTCTGAAAGGGGCCGCCCAAGTAACACAGCTTAGAGCAGGGGTGGGCAAAATGCGGCCTGCCAGGCCATTCTATCCAGCCTGTGGGGCCCCTAAAAAATTTAGAAAATTAATATTTATCTGCCCTGAGCTGGCTGTCATGTGGCCCTCTATGGCTTGCCAAAACTTAGTAAGCAGCCCTGCACCAAAAATAATTGCCCGCCCCTGGCTTAGAAGCTTACTGTAGTTGTGCTCATAGCACTCCTGGAAGGTAGGACAGTGCTATTCTTCCTATTTACAAAGGGGAGGTGAAATACAGGCTTGTACAAAGCTGCACAGAAGCCTTTAGTGGAATCGTGTTTCAGAGTCTCCAAAGTATGAAGCCAGTGGCCTAACTAACCATTGTCCCCTCCTTCCTCTAGTTGCTTTTGGACACTTAAGCCATGCTTTCTGTTTTGTTTTATACAGGGTATCAGGCATCCAGTTTTAATAAAAACTGTGACTATTTATTTCATCTTTTCAATTTAAGGTAGCTTCAAATTTAAGGAAATTAAAAGAAAAATGATAACCTAAGCTGCTCTTTTTATGTCCTTCTCACCCCCTTACTTTTGGTGGATCTGAGATAGCAAGTGGGTTAACAAGTATGAAACAATGTGCCCCTTGTCCTGTATAGCCTCTCTCTGAAATGCAGGCTAGTGAATGAGCTTTCTTTTTTGTGCTTTCTGCATTCAAAAAAGAAAGAGAGAGGAAATTACAGGGTATGGATGGGGGGTAGCTGTCA